GTGCGTGCGCAGGTTGCCGGCGGTGCTGTAGGTGCGGGGACAGCCCTCAAAGGTGCACTGGTAGCGCTTCACCTGAGGACAAAACGCTGCATTGCTTAATAATTTTTAATCATTTCTCGAACCCAGACAGGGTAGAACTGCAGTCAGACATCAAAGACAACACAACAGATTTTGACCCCAAAGCCCAGGAAAAAAATTTATTGCTGTTTAATTCTCAGATAACAACATTTCTGCTGCACTCTGTGAGGAAGGAGTGGCACACAGGAAAGCAGCTGGCCCTGCAGAACAGGAATCTAACAGAAGGGGAAAAAAGAAAAACAGAATTCAAAAGGTTTCTAGCTCAAAATCTGATAAAATAGTTGGAAAGGACATTCAGGGGCTATCAAACCTGCCCACTACCCCCTGTAGCCCCTGCAATTTCACTCAGGTGTTCCTAGCAGAGCTACTTATTTGTGGAGAATGGAGACAAGGGAAAATGCACTGTCACAACCCTCAAAACCACTGCCTTGTGTGCTGGATTCCCATCAGCACCTTGAATGAGAAACACAGTTTTCACCATCTCTCATGGTCTAACCACCAGTCCATTTATTACTTCAATTTATTCCAAAACCAGACCTCATTGAGTTATGCTCTTCCTTTCTGGGGTCACTGAAACAGTGAGTGCCTGAAGTGTACCAGATCAAACCAGGTGCTTTTCACCCAAAGACTGGTGTCATAGATTTCCCAGCCAGCCATCGAGATTCCCAGGACAGATTTGGTACCTCTCCCCCTTCTGCAACAGGCACAAGGGACCATGTAGAAGCTTCCAGCGTGCAAGTGGTAACACCTAATGAAAGTTCATCCTCTCTTGTGAAGCAGAAGGAATATGTCACCTGATCTGCCTGAATAAATTTATCCTCACCATTGACTATCAGACCAATTTGACTGTTGCAATTCAGAAACCTCAACATCTAAAAGTGATTGAGGAGCCCAAGAAAGGACTTAGCAAGTCGCACTAGGCATAATTTGGGTTCTAGACAACTCTCCAAAAATAAAGAGGAATAGTTTCCCACTTATTTCCAAGTGGTTTTGTAGGGGACAAAACTGCTAGCAGGACCCCTTTAAGAAAACTCTATAAAAGCTGAGCAATCTTTCATGTATCTCAATCTGTGGTCTCTTGTTGCTCCTACAACAGGCTGGTATCCACCTTAACCTTCCCTCAATAAAACCTTCATATTTGGAGAACGTTAAAGCAGGTGGGACATACAAAGGACCATTACACAAGGCACAGAAATACTGTAATGTGCTGCGTTTGGCTGGGGTGGAGTTAATTTTCTTCACAGTATGGGGCATGTTCTGGATTTGTGCTGAACACAGGGCTGATAACACAGAGATGGATTTTTTCTTTTTAGTGCTTCTCATTCTGCCCTGCCAGCAAGGGGCTAGGGGTGCACAGGGAGTGAGGAGGGGACACAGCCGGGACAGCTGACCCCAACTGTTCCAGGAATATCCCAGACCACGTGATGTCATGCTCAGTACATGGAGCTGGGGAAGGAGAGGGAAGGGGGGACATTTTGTGCTCCTGAGTCTCCGTTAGGCATGACAGAGCCCTGCTGTCCTGGGCATGGCTGAGCTCCTGCCTGCCAGGGGAAGTGGGGAATTTATCCCTTTGCGTTTTTATCTGGTCACTCAGCACCTTTAGATGCACCATACAGAGAAGGAAACAACAATTTCATTGTAAAGCAACTGGCCCTTAATTTATAGTTTAAATCAGAAAGAAGTTACCCATAAATGCCCAAGCACTACAGCACAGTTACAAGACAATTAGGAAGTTTGGCTTTGCTGAGTCAGCCACAACACGGGAGCCCAGACCAGTAACACGACAAGGTCAGAAAGCACGTGGTACTGGATGAGGAGGGGTACATTATCCTCCCCAGGGATCACCAGATCCAGTACAATTGCTGTATCAGTACTGATGGAAATGTTCCCTGTTAAAACTTTAAGGCAGCTGGAAATTAACACTTTACAGGACATCGTCCACAGTACTTGCCATGGTACAAAAGGGATCTGACAAAGGCAGGAACTGAAAATCAAGAGAGAGGTCTGTTCAGCTTCCTAGGTGTTTACAGTTAGGTCTAGAAGGAAATGAGGAATATTAGTCACAGATTAAGGGTTTGGTTCCCAGCTGTCAATGCCCATATGTACAGGAAGACAGTTTCATGGCCTGAACTCTGACAAAGGCCTTGCAGTGCTCTGCCTCCCTCAAGGGCCAAACCTTCATTTCACAACCCCCCCCCGAGCACACCACAGGCAGCAGCAACAGCACCACCACATTCTGAGCAAAACAAACCTTTCTGTGAAGCACGTGAAGCATTTAATTCTCTTCTCACAGTAGCACATCAAATAAGCACTTATTATACATCCAAAATCATCAGAGACTGGTTTGAAAGCCTTTCAGGTGCAGCAGCAAGAGCTCCAGGCTGTCTCAGCACCCAGGCACAACAGCAAACAAACAAGGCAGCACAGGTCAAGCCCCGGACAGCAAGACAGGGACCAGGTGCTTCAAGGCCAAAGGCTGCGGCTTTTGGCCAGGGACAGTGAGCTGCTGCCTCTGCCAGGGGCACAGGGGACGCTGAAGAGCCATAATCCAGCATTTACCTCAGAAACAGGAACTTGTGCAATACCCAAAAGTACTAGGGGAACCTGACACCCTTGACCAAAGTCTACATTAACTGCTTAGTTTGCCTTTAACTCCTCCCAAGCTTACAACATTCCCCCTAAATGGCTGATTTTTCTGTGCCGTCATTGAAAAAGAGTTAATGAATTTGAAATACAAAACTGTAATCACATCTGTTCTTAGCAACAGAATTACAGTGAGAGATGTACAATGAAACAAAAATAAGTCAATTTAATTGCACATGCAGCCATTGACCCTGTTTAGCTGCCACCCCCTGCTCTGGGTTCCACAGAGAGGAGAGAAAGTACCGACATGACAGACAGAGAAAGTGAAACACTTGAGCAGCTGCAGCAGCTGCTGCCATGGATAACTGACAAAAGGAGACTCAAATAGGCTTGCTGAATATGCCTCAGTCCACAAGTTCCCCAGCTGCAGAACTGACCCCGGCCAGCCCCATTTCCTCACCACAGTAACAGTGGCTCCAGGCTGATGGGAATCACTCAGTGGGCACAGCCAGGGCTCAGGGGCACAGCCAGGGCTCAGGGGCACAGCCAGGGCTCAGGGGCACAGCCAGGGCTCAGGGGCACAGCCAGGGCTCGGTGCTGCAGCTCTCTCACTCTCAGTGTTGGTTACACAATGCTGCTATCACTGACAGTGGCACAAATATTTGGACACATTGGCCCTTGCCTAACTCAGAAGGGCCAAAAAAGGAGCACAAAGCTGTCCCTATGCTGGTGTCACAGTCAACTCTGCTATGCAAGAACCCCAGGAGAAGCCCTCACCACTGTGTGTGCAGGGAAAACTCATCAGAAAAACAGAATTAAGAGTAAACTCCATTTTAACTGTGTAAGCTGACCCGAACTTTCAAAATACCACAGATGGCAGCTTAAAGCTTCCCTTATTCTCCTCTCTCAGTTTCCCAGTGAGTGACAAAATAAAACTACAAGCAATTTAAAGTTTGGCATCTCAAGTTTGGTACTCCAGCTCCCACCAACGGCCTGGTCCTTAACTGTGACCTGGATGTGCTTCTCTGGAGAACGTGGCCAACCCCAGAGTAACAGAGCTCAGAGTATTTCAGTTACCTCTGAACCCACAAAACAATGACCCAACCAGAAGAAAACCAGAAGATCACTAAAATCACACCACTGACTTGTGTCAGTGCCACACCCTCCTGCCATCCAGTGTCACACGGTGGTGCCTCCTGGCAGGTTCCCAGGTGGAGTCAGAGGGAAAAGGGACAGTCTTGGCAGCTCTGCTGGGACACGGTTCTGCCCAGCACATAGAGCAGATTCAGTGGAGGGCAATTCACTCCACTACACAAAAACCTTGGAGAACAAGCAGAACTCTGCCTGTCCCCAGGCAAACAGCTCTGGAAAAACACCTTTTCAAACCCTTTAGGTCACCAGGTGAAAACCACTGACAAGAAGCACAAATCCCAGATCACACTTAGCTACTCACTTCCTTGAGCTTGGTTTCTGGGCATTCAGATTGCAGAGTGAGGGTTGCTCCTTCGATGTTCCTGGGCATGGGAGTTGACCCAGGATTTATTGTTAGATGAATCTGATCTGGAGAAATAATGTGTTGCACATAACCCTGGGACATTCCTTCATGATCTGCTATTAAGTGAAATCCTTCTTCGTGACCCTCTGGTAAAAAAGGCAAGTGATCACCACACTGTCCTTCATCCTCCTCCTCCTCCAGCACGCTGTGGTCCTGCTCGATGAGCACAGTTGTCCTGTCATAGACCGTCCCGGAGGAGGAGGACACCAGCCCGTTTTTGTCAGCAAACCTCATCATATTGTCATCCTGGGCCAGGTCGTCCTCCTCCACCTCATAGTAGATGACGTTGCCCTCGGGGCTGTTCTCGCCCATGGCTCCGCGCCTCTCTCCGCGCTACCGGGAGCTCCGGCCACAACGGCTCATCTGCAACGCAAGGACGGGCGGGGGGTCAGGCGGCTCCGCCAGCGAGGGCCCGGCTCCGCTCGCGGGCGCAGCCCCGGGGCGGGCAGTGGCGGCGGGGCCGGGTCGGCCTGAGCGCCGCGGGCCCGCCCCAAGCGCGACGCTGCCCCCGCCAGGCCCGGCCGCGCGCAGAGCCGCTCCCGTGCCCCGCCTGAGCCCCTGCGCCCCGGTCGATTCGGTTCCCCTCGGTTCCCCCCCGCTCACCGGGCGCCGGCGGCCGCTCCCTCCCCGCCCCAGCGGCACCATGATCGCGCCGCTCACTTCCGCTTCCGGCCGCGCGCCGCCCACCGGGAGCGCCGCGCCCGCCGCAGGGGCTCATGGGAAGGTGGCGGGCACGGCGCGGCGCCACCTGGGAGCGGGGCGCGAGTCACGGCCCACAACGCGAAACGGCTCCAGAGCGTTTTATTTAAATAGCGAGGGCTTAAAAATCCCAAGGTTTCAAACAAGTTAAATAAAATACAGTGTAAATATCAGCTTTTATATTTTTTGCTTGTCTACATACAGCTTATTTAAAAATTTTATATACTTTACAGCATAATCAGGTGTCAAACAGCCTGACCTGTGCCTTCAAAAGCAACAGATTGTATAAAATACTGTGATATCCAAAAAACAAAAAAAGCAGGTATAATGTACAAAAAATATTTTTACAGTAATTCGATATCTAAAAATCCAGATTGGCTGCATCTGGAATTCACGGTGAATTGTCTTCTCTCTCGAGGAACTGGCGGATGAACTGCTGGGCTTTCCTCTTCTCGGCTATGTCAGGGGTGGGATGTCCGGGGGGAGGGCGCAGTAACAGGCCCCCAAACACACTGGCTGCAGGGCAAAGCCACACAGAGGCACAGTGAGAGCAGCAGGACATCAGTGGCCATCCCACCAACCTCAGGGTACAGCGCCTGGGCTGGGACAAAGCTCACGGCCCCCCACACCTCTGGGTCACTTCCCCGCTTTTCTAGGTTCCTGTTTTTTTCTATGGACTATTCGAAGCTTCAAAGCAGTGTAGACCACAACTGCACTCAGGTGGGAAATGTTCTATCACCTTTCTGAACAGAGAGGTTATTGTGATTGCCTTACCAAGAATATTTACATCCAGGTGGTTTTTCCCCGAATTTTTCAGTAGTTCTCGTAGAAATGCCATCAGATATTCAAATACATTTTTATGGCACACTGGCAGGCTAGAGATAATCTGAGGAGGGAAAAACCCAACATTTATATTGCAGACACAGCAATGGCTTCCAGTTTTACCTACTCCAAACACCCCCCTCTGCAAGTGCCAACAGCTCTTCATAACCCAGAAGCACCAGTTCCAGATCCTTTCTATGACCAGATGACTGAGTTACTGAGAGCAAAACCCTGTGAGTGGTGTGACAGAGGCCAGTTTGCCTCCCCTCCTTCCGGAATCTGAGCCAGTCCCACAGGGAAGCTGGCCATACCTGGCTGCTCAGCCAGTAGCTGCTGGCACTCTCCAGGCAGGTGCTGTAGAACCTGGAGCAGATGACTGGCTCAGGCAGGCTCTCCAGGAACAGCAGCAGGGCTTCTGCCACTGAGTGGTTGCTGCCCACTGATCCAAACATGGTTAAGGAAGAGGCAAGCACAGCAGGATCTAGGCTGGTCCTATTTCTGCTGAAACATGAACCTTTGCTTAGGTCTCCCCAAACTCCTCCTACTGCTCCCAGCTTTGGGTTAATGCCCTGGACTCCACATGGGGAGCTGCTGCTGTTGGACCCTTGTGAAATTCATCAGCATCACAAGGACCCAGAGGAGGCTTTTGGAGCCATAGGAACTGCAGAGCTCAGCTACCCCAGGGGAGAGGCAGCAATTTAAAAACCTCTCTCAGCTTTGACCACTGCAGCACAGTGAGCCTGCCTGGGCATCACCCAAAAGGATACAGAAGGTATCGTGCATTCCCTTGTCCAAACAGTCTCGGATCTGCTCAAACTCGGATCTGAGGCCTGGCTGCTGAAACAGGTCCTCCTGCAAAGACAACCCTTGGTCAGTCCAAGGAAAATAGAAGGGTTTTGGGTAAATAGAGCATCCTTATAATCTGCCTGAAAAACCTCTCCAAACTGGTGGTTATCACACAAGTCTCACCAAGAGCAGCTCTAGTAAGGCTGTGGCACTGCAGTGAGGGCAGTGCAGGAGGACTCTGCTGATGCCTGCACACATAGAGCACAGGCACCAGCACCAAAGAGTGCAACCCAGGGCACCAGGATCACTTATCTCCAAAGGCCTTTGGCCAAACACTCCCAACTCACAGTGATTGCTATTATCAATATCTTCTTCAAAACTCAAAAAACCCAAGCAGCTCATTTTGTGTTTCCAGTACAAACACTGCCAACCTGTTGGGAAGCATTGCGATACAAATGATCCACCATCATCCACAGCTCTTTTGGGATGTCCATAGGCTTTTCAGCTTGAGCGGGATCAGGATCATCACTCTTCTCTAGTGGCATCAGGGTCTGAGGGAAGGCATTGTGGGGAGGGGAGACAAACACACAGCTAGGCAAGTTCTTATTCAGCTCAGTAAAAAGACTTCACAAAGCTTATACCTGAGAATTGAAACTTGTTAATAACAACAAACAGGCCTCAGTTTTAATGGCTCTTGTGGGTTTGGAAAGGAATCTTGTCTTTAACTCACAAGTCTCCGAATGGATTCTGCTGACATGTCCTGGATCGGTTCCCTCATGTAACACAGAGTATGGATGGGAGACCCAAAGCAACTTGGCAAATAATTGCCTGTTACAGACAGAAAATAATCCTTCCCCCTGTTAAGATGTAAGACCAAGATATCTTCAAGTTTTTCCTCTCCAGAGTTTAAGCAAGTAGCCGTTGATTTATTAACAAACACTTCCAGCTCAACTGTGATCTCAGCATCTGATGATAAAAAGATGATAAAAAACCCAGACTCAGTTACAACCGGTATTAAACCAACAGCCTGTCAACAGGCACAGCACTCTCAGAAGAGCAGAGAGAACTAAGCCAGAAGTGGACAATATCAACTCATTAACATGAGGGGAACAAAGAGGAGCTCACCTGAAAGCAGGAAGCCCTTACTGGGATTAGCAATCAGCCACTCCTTGCAGTAGGTTTCCTCATCTGGTTTGCTGATGAATTCGAACTGGCAGGGCACTTGGCCATTGTGGATTGTAAACCTCTCTACCTGCAGCTGCATGTATTTCACATCCTCAAAATGGATCTAGAAACAAACGTCAGTCAACATCATCAGCCATTTCACCTTGCCAAGCCCCAGCAGCAATTCTTGTCCCATGGTTTAATCATTAAGCAGCAAGACACCCAGATTAACCCTTTGCTCCCACATCCCATCTCTTCCAGGACTCCAGAGGATCACCAAATGCTCCCCTCAAATATGAAATCGAGAGTGAGATAGCTGTAGCCTCAAATGTATCCTGGGCTCATCTTTATAGTCCCCAACACACAAAGCAAATGCTGGTCTTTGACCTTCTCCACATCCTTCAGATTCTACATTTTATGTTTCAAAGAACAAGTCAGAGCAAGGGTCACAAACTACCCTTTTACTTTTTCTCTCTCCACCTCAGGAGTAACACACCCTGCCTTTCAGCCTTGGGCTGTGATCAGAATTTACCAGCATCTAAACAGGAACAAAGATTCCTAGGGCTTGTAAACAGAGAGAAGCTGGAAGTCAAAATATTCTAGGTTTTGGAACCAGACCCCAGGCTCTAGAATCCATCTTCTGCTGCTGGGGTCTGGGGTTGCTCAGTTCCTTCAGGGAGTGCTGGCACGTGGCCATGCCCCACCTCTCTGCGGGACAGCGTCACCGAGGGAATGTTGGCGTTCTCCAGCTTATCCAGGGAGCGGACTATTTCCTCAAAGGCTTTTCGATAGAGCTCCTCATTCACAACCTTCACCTGAAAAGGACATACACCGCACCAGCTGGCATCTGCTGTGCCTCTGCAGGACAGCTGGGACACAGCTGGAAACATGGGAAGTGGTTTGATTCTAGCAGCACACTAGAGTATAAAACCCACGTAACCGGCAGAGCCACTTGGAGCAGTAATGCCCCAAGATCTTCTCAGGATCCAACAGTAAAGGACCTTGCCATAACTAACAAGAGCCACTCAGTATCAGATCAGCCTTTTTCTAAGTCTCAGAAAAGAAAAGGTTTGACAACACACTACTGTGTTCTCAAAGAACACTGACAGATATTCAGGCATTGTCCTGCTTAACTTGAGTATCAGTTACACAGCCCTTGCTCACTATGACCAACAATCCCACCTCTGTATCTGATCCAGCCCACCTTTCAAGCCATTGTTCTCTGGGAGTTCCATAAAAGCAGGAGAGGGAAATCAGCAGGAGAACCTCCCTCCCCACACAGAGGACAAGGTCAGCAGTTATTTCCTTACCCCAATATCGAACACGGAGCTGACTGGCTTGTGGTCACTGAGCTTCAGGGCCATGTGGCTGCGATAGCTCAGCTGGGCAACGTTCTGCCCTTTCCAGAGGATGCGATCACACCACGCTGGAACACGACACTTCTCACTGAAACAGAGGGGAAGATCACAGTTTCCAGGCACAGTTCAGGTGCAGTAACACTGCTCTCCTAGAGACTCAGGGTTTCCTGCCATGGCCTGGAGCTCATTCTCTATCAAAGTGGTATTTTTAACAGTTTCTTTGAGTAGATATAAAAACTGATTGTCTACTATGAGGTATCTCTAGCTCATGCTTTACTTCCTCCTTCTTCAAAAGTGCAAAATACAGTTAACATACAAAGCAATACTCAGATATTTTTGACCATAAGAGCCATGAAAAATAAGAATTCAGGCTCTATGTTTAAAGTTTGCATTTATTTTTTTCACTGACTGCTGCACAGATTTCATTTCTGCACTTGCAGCTGAAGTTCCTGGTTTGGTAGCAGCAGGTGAGCTGCTCTGTGAACTGTGGTTCACATTATGGGAACTGTGGTTCTCACATGCGTTTAGAGAACAGCACAAACACTCCAAGTCAACCCTGGCTGGTCTCACCTGAGCAGGTACAGCAGAGATAAGCAAATAAGAGATCCTGCAATTTTTTTTAGCCTTGTTTTTAATTCCTTCAGAGGTAACACCAGCCATTGGTGGCATCACATCTGAGGCGATCACTGTACCTTGTGTCCCAGTCATCACAGCCAGCATCATACTTGTATGTTGGCTGGAAAGAGATCTCTCCCTCTGTGAAGCCTTCAAAGGCTGCATTTGCCTTCATTTGCCTCTTCAGCTATGAAAGAAGAAAAGACAAAAAGTTTCATTTTAGGAAAGCTTAAGCACAATTCCCACATGTGCTAAAAGGGAGGCCAAGGAGTCGTGCAGTTTGTACTGAGCACCCTCAGCACCGTGTGCAGGCAGGTGAGACATCAGTACCTGGTCATACTGGCAAAGCTCTGGAAATGCTTTCTCCTCTATGAGCTGCTTCACTTGTGCCACATCCAGTTCCTCCAGCCGATAGTTGAGGTCCCCCAGCCACAGGATCACACTGAGAGAGAACATATCCCAGAATGTGCAGAGAGACCTGAGGCTCCCCTGGAGCCCGGCCATGGGTGGCAGCTCCATGGGCTCTCCCCACCACAACCCCCTGGGTGCTGCAGCTGCTCTCACCAGAGACAACAAGAGTGAGCAACAAGAGAAACTACAGCTGCTCTCACCAGAGACAACAAGAGTGAGCAACAAGAGAAACTACATTTTCTACCTTTGCCATTTTTAATTACTGTTCTGCGTGTTTGTCACTACCCCTTAATAACTGGTGCTGTTACCATTCCACAGTTGGGGAAATCAATGCTGATTACTGCCCCATTCCCACTCCATGCTTGAGAATAAAACAAGGCCTGGGAGAGCATAAGGCAACAAGCAGCCTGTCAGAACCATGAGGGTGAGCACTCTCCAAACCAGGTAAAGCATTTCTGGCCCTTCCAGCTGACATTCAGGTCACTGGGGACCCCTCCTCAACCCCAGCACGTTAACGTGCTCCCTTGCCACGTGCCACGATTCCCAAAGCCAGATGGGAAGCATACTCGTGTTTGCCAATAGTGAGAGGGGGCAGATTTGGGTCTGACTGGCAAAACTGCATTCGAGAGCAGATGTCTTTGAAGTCCTGGTTCCTCCGCTCATATTCCTCCGTGTGAGCTGCGAGGTGAGAATTCACAATGCACACGCTGGTGTTATGGAACTTAAACCTGATGGCAACACCACCTTTGTTACCCTGAAAGACAAAGACACTGGTCAGAAGCTTCTACACCGCAGATGAATCCACAAATGAGTTACGGGCAGTGCACAAGCCAGAAGACTTTGAGACAGGCTGTTTAATTCCAGAGGAAGGAAAAGGCTGAAAATGCCAATCAGTGATTACTGCTTTGAGCACTGGCAAGCACATGGCAATTCCCTCTCACAGTGCCCTGAGCTGGCACAGGGATAGGGTTATCTGCTTCTAAAGGCAGCCACAGCCTTTAGCTGGAGGTACAACCATGGCATCCAAGGAGAGGGGCTCTTCCAAATCTCACCCCCTCTTGTGCACAGTTGCCTTTCTTACCATCCTCCCCATGATTCCAGTTCCCACAGTCTCAATTTCCACCTCAGAGATGTTCAAAGCAAGGTCTGCCTTCACGTACAAGAGGAGCATAATTCCCACCAGCCGCACAAGCTTCACCTGAAAAACAGACCCTAGTCCATTAAATGCTGGAATGGAAGAGGTTTGCTGAGAGAAGGCACATTGCTCCCCATCCGTAACATGGGTCACCAAGAAGAGAGTTCCAGGTTCATTCAATGCACCAGCTGGGCTCACAGGACACAGCCCCCCAGCAGCACAGCCCAGGAAGGGGTCAGGGAGCAATATCCCAGTACAGGAAGTTAAAGCCCAAAGCAGGAGTCTCAGCACAAGGATAAGCACATGAAAGGAGCTTCCCTTCAACAACAGAGATAAGAGAGGAAGCAGATCTAAGGAGCAGGAGCCAAAACAAGCAGTATTCCTCCCAAAATACCTTCACAACTCATTCCACCATGCATTGTGGAGACAGACATGGAAGAAACTACGGAATTCCCTGTTCTCCTCCCCCAAGACAGCAGGAGCTGCCTTTCTGTGGGGAAGCCTGGCTCTGGTCTGTGTCCTGCCCCTGCCTCAGCACCTGCACAGCAACACTACCTATGGCACCTGCACAGCAACACTACCTATGGCACCTGCAGAGCCTGCAGACCATGAGCCCCTGGAAGACACAGCCATTGAGAATGAGAGAAAGCAAAGGGAAAAGAGGCCTAAGTGGAAAATGAGTCCACACTCAAACCTCCCCAAAAGCCACATTTACCTTTGCATATTTGGCATCTGGGTGAAGACTATCAGTTACAGCTTTAAACCATTCTTCTTCCTTCGGTGTGTCATTGAAAAAGAAGGCTTCTTTAGTCAGATCAAGCTCCTGGAAACTGTGTTAGAGGAAGGAACTCATGGATGCATGCACTTGTTTATAACTCTCCAGCTCTTTCCTCTGGGAAAGAACTAAATCAATTTACACTCAATTTATAACTGAAAACTCCAATTCAGTTATGCTGATTGTAGAGGTATGTTAAATGTAAAGCTTAATTACTGTCATATTACATCAAATAGCACTAAGGACTTTGTAACACTGAGAGGCCAAACCCTACCAGACCAACGGCCCTTTCTGGCTGTGCACACACCCGCCCTGGAGCTGTGCAATGCACCACAGCAGTGCCAACATCCCTGTGGTGTCCTGGCAGAACTCCTCTCTGTGACAGATCCACCAGCACAGCCCAGGTTTGGGACAATGGGCCAGGGAGAGACACTCACCCCACGCAGTAAATGTCTGGAGGCTCAGCATCACAGCTCAGCCAGGGCTGGAGGCTCTCCGTGGGCGACTGACCATTCACGTTGTATGTCCCGACAAAAACCCTGCAAAGACAGTGACTGAATCCCAGAGCCACAAACTGCAGAGCACAGGAAATACCACTGCTATCAGCCAAGTACTTATGGGTACCTAGAACTAACACATTTCCAGGGGAAATTAAGAAAATGTGACAAAGTTTAAATCCCTAAAATGATTTAACAACAGCAGCATCTTTACAGACATGTTTTATAGAAGGACACACATTGTATACACAGATACACAGTATTAAAGAAAAAAACAAAAATAAGACTGGAGCTGTGCAGTAGCAGTTTGAAATGATAAATTCACAGAATGAGATGCATAAAACAATTTCAAACACAGTAATGTTTTGGTCCTATTTATATATTTTATGCAAGATCTTTCTTATGAGCTTATTGGAACAATTACATGGATAAGTAGTGGACAGAAGTGGAGAGGGAGAAGGCTGAAGTGCACAGAGCTGATGCATTTCCAGACACTGTCTGAAATAAGCACAGAAAAAAGTGATTTCAAGAAGGCCATTTTCTCCACAAGAACCATGAGGCAAGCCTTGACAAAGACATGAATGAAATTCTGCTCTGCTAATGCATAAATGAGGAAAGAAAACTATTCTGGAAGGTATGGATCATACTTTTGTACAGTTTCCTGTTTGCGGGGACACAGGATGAAATAACGGACATGAGTTATTCTGACAGACTTACAACCCACAAAAATAAATTCTTCTCAGGAATGATCATCACCTGTAGTTCTGGATGTGCGTGTAGGAATCCTCCATTTGTGCAAGCTGAGATTTAACAATAGTATCTCTTAGTCCAAACTTTGGTTCTGATATGATCGAGGCCTTGTTCGAAGCCATGAGGTGGGAAGGCCGGACTTGTTCAGTTCTCACTTCAGGCTTGAGTTTATTTTGCCTGTAAATGAAAGCAAAACTGCAGATGAAGCCCAGGCTATCCACACACCTTAACTAACTTATTTCTGCCACCGAAACCTTGATTCACATTTTTCTGTCTGTTCACTAAAGACAGATAATATTTGAGATAAGCCGAGAAGACTGAAATGAGCATTTCTTAGCAAGGTTCAGATCTCGAGAGGAAACCAGTTAGTTTAACTAACTGAAATAACAAATGGTTTTCACTATTCTGGTTCAGCCTGTCAATGCAGAGCAGGCCTTACTCACACTTGGATATTGATACAAAAACTGTACACTTTCCCTGCTTATTGTAGCAGGGAGATGGAAATCTCATTTCCTGGTGCCTCTGCTCAGCCCTTCTGACCTCAGCTGGAGAATGAAGAACTGTGTTTGTTTAAAAAGCCTTCTGTGGAAAACTTCCAGCTCTGCCCAGAGTGGGTGGGGGTAGAGGTGGTTTGACTTTGTGTCTCCTGGCTCTGAAACTCCTTTTGCAACAATAATGCCACAGCTTGGGAGTTCCCACCAGCAAGTGGCCAGCATAAATTTAAGGTCAGAACCTGCACACCAGTGCCAAGGACAGCACACAGACAGACTCTGAAGGATATGCAGCAGGGTCCACAAAGTCCTGGGAACTGGAAAATGAAACTGTAACTAAGAGTGTATCTATGAGACACAGTGGCCCTAAGCCAAAGTTCTCTGAATTCAAAACAAGCAATGCTAGCAGGTCCTGTCCCACTCAACAGCCAAAGTATGCCCAAGTAGGGGACTAGCAGGGCTCTCTCTGGGGGACTGGGATGAAATTTCCACTAACGTTTTGACAGCATGCTTATGCTGAACTTTTTTCTCTCTTAAATCTGCAGATTCTCATCTCAAAAAGTTGCCAACTTCCACTCTAGACCCCCCTCTGTGCACTGACCCACCACAGCTGATGGAACTGGTAATGCAGCTACACAATTGCAATGTGGGGGTGCAGAGCTCACCCGCTGGCCCTACACAGAGACCCTCGGAGGAGGAAGGCACGGCTAAACTGGCACAGAAATGTGGCCTCCACCATCACTCCTCACTCGACCTTGCACAAAGAGCTGATGTGCACAGCTCCCTTCAGCTGCACACCACGCAAGACCTCCTACCTGGGAGAGCTTCTGTCAGTGGTGGTGTGGCTGCAGCTCTCACTGAATGCAGCCTTTTTTCCATTCTGTTTGATACCTTCAGAGCCAACCACTTCTGGAAAAAAAAACCCACAAAGTTTCACTTTAAACACAAAGTGTTCTTCAGTTTATCAACACGATTATACAAACACTGGCAAAAATCTGTGGGCAGAACATAATTTAGATTTGTGTGGAAAAACAAAGAACCCTGCAGTTTCTCCTTCAGTTATCTGAGAGTTTTAGCTTACTTTGACCCAACTGTTCTGTGATGATGCAGTTTCCCTTGCAGAGGAAGAACTCACAGAAGCCACAGAGAGCAGCAGAACTGCTGCCTGCTATGGGAGTGCTTGCTGCTGGCTCTCCCTTACACAGCTAAGCCAAAGCAGAACTTAGCAGCACAAAATCCAGGGCTTTACCCTGGGAATCTGAAAAATGTATGTTAATAACAGATTTTTCCTTTCTGAAGCAAGACAGAAAGTACAAAGCAAGGAATAAAAAGGGGAAACAAACAAACAAACAAACAAACATCACAGTACCCTTTAAAGGGTTTCTACCTGTCTGCAAATACCCAGCAAGGCACAGGCATCCCCCCCTTGAGGCTGGGCAGTACAGTCACCCCACGGACCCACTGAACCTCAGCAGAAACATCTGCCTTAATGCAAACTGCACTCTCCTAAAACAGTAACAGGGCTGCTACCACACAAATCTAACTCACCACAGGTGTGACATGAACCACATCACACTACCTTAGCAAAATCTGACCAGTCTTTCAGCTTTTTGTTTCAGTTACAACATTCTGCTCCTACAAGTGACAAAATAACAAAGATGATTCTAGGGGTGAGTCTCTGCATTTAAGATGCACAAACAGCAATCTTAAGATCATGCTCCTTAGCACACAAATCTAATGGTGATGTAGAAATCGTTAAGATTGTCAGATTCTAGGCATTCAGCTGAGCTTCTCCTTCAAAGCACAACCCAGAAAAATTTAAGATGTTATTGCTGTCATAGAACATTCTGCAGGACAAAAGCGCAAACCAGAAATAGAACTTGCAGTACTTCACCCAGGCTCTCAGGACATAAACCAGCTAGCAAGAGGTGGCCAAGTTCTCAGCCTGAAAAACCTCTCCTGCCCAAGAACCCTCTGAGAATAGACTGTGTAAGAGGATTTATCAGAGCTTGATGCAGAAGAGCACATGACTCAAGCCTCGCTGCAGATCACACAGCCCAAGTCACGCAGCATTGACCAGGAGCACACGGAGATGCCCTGGGGAGTGTGGGCCTGGGGAGCTGGGACACAGCGTTTTCTCCATGAGCCTTGAGCTCTCAGTCAGTGCTCCTTGAACCTCTGCAAGCTCTCCCCATAACGACCATGCAACATCCCTTGAGAGTGACAGGAACCAACCTGAACTTTCAACTCAGTGGACAATGGTTACTTTTGTGCCAGGAACAGAGCAGAATCCCAGGCCTTATTACCCACATGGGATGATGCCACAGCAGCATGCAGAAGGCATTAGTGCAGAATGGAAAGACGTGTGAGCCTGCTGCTGACACAGCTGCTACGTGATCCAAAGATCACAGTCACATATGACACCTTCCATTGTAACCTCATGGGTGGAAATCAGCTTTAGGTAGGATTCTCCTAAGAAAGAGATTAGCCTTGGAAAAGGGCTATTTCCTTTAAATAAATGTGTATCTAGCCACAGATCGCTGTAGCCAGAGGTATCTTCAGAGGGTAGCACTCTGAAGTGGAATAATGACCTTGTTCAATAACTGAACTGAGCACAGAAATGCAGAGCTATGTGCAGAGGTTACAGCAGGTCTCGGACAGGATTTGCAGTTAAATGAGATTTAAGCAGTAATAAAGGCGTTCCTGTTAAGAATGTGCAGTGACATTATAGTATACTGCTTTACAGCAAGAAAACGTATCATATCTCCTGGATAAGGCAGGATCCATGCTTAGTGTCCAAAGGGGAGAATTAAATTAGTCTTCATGCAGCGAGAGGTGCCCAGCCTAAACGAAGCAGCATGCAGCAGACACGGCAACACTCAGGTTTTGAATCCCACACTGACTTCCAGGAATTGCTTTAGCTCGGAATCTTCTCACACGTGCACTCTGCAAAGCGGGAAAGGGCCCCGGGCGCGGCGGGGCCGGCGCGGCCCGTCCCCACCGGCGGAGCCGAGCCGGGCACAGGGACCGGGTCGCGAATCCGCCGGAGCCTCGGCGGCGGCTCCGCGCCCGCGGCGGAACTGACCCGCCCCGGGGGCAGCGGGAGCCGAGCCTGGCGCTGCCCCTCCGCCTCCCGCCCCCGGCCCCGTCCCGCCGCCCCGGACAGACGCCGGCGGGGCAGCGCGGCCCCCCCGCCCGCCCCGGCGGGTCCCCGCGCTCACCTCGGCGGGGCCGCCCGCCCGCGGACATCGCCGCAGCTCGGCGCCACCGGCCCTTAGCTCGGCCCCGGCCCGGCCCCAGCGCCCGCCCCGGCCCGCCCCGGCCCGCCCCCGGGAGCCCGTTCGGCTCGGCACAGAGCACCCGCCTCTGCCCGCAAAAAAACACCGACCGTCGCTGCCGAGCCGTCCGACGGCGGGGAATCGTCACGGGGAAGGGGTGAGCGCTGAGCGAGGTTCAGCACAGAGAGGCCAACGCTGCTCTCGCACACGCAGAAGAGACGAGCAAACGCAACATTCCTGCCCCGCCGGACCCTCCCCCGTCCCAGCCGCACCCGCAGAGCTCGTACCTGGGCTGCACCTGCTGAGCTCCTGCAGGAACGTGCGCGTGTGGGAGCCGAAGGGCAGCCGCACGGTCAGCCGGTCCTCTGCTGAGCTCATCTGGACAGTCACGTCAGAGCCTGAGGACATCAGGAGAAAGAGCTCCTGTGGGTCGTGCTGCCAAGCCTTCAGAAACCGAGCGTTTCTCCACTCTACACTGGTGGATGCACACGTGCATGCAGCCTTCGGCAACATCTCCCCATGATGCCTTAACATGTTCCTTTCCAACATTTTACATGAGAATGCCATTTAAAAATATAAAGACGACCATTTATAATAATTTTTATTCTGCTCGTTCAGTGACAATAATTAATCTTCCAGCAGCAGTTTAAAAGCGTTTGGAAAAATCATTCCCTTGGTTGAATGGGGCTGACAATGCTTGTTAGCACTAAGTAACCGTGGCCAACAGCACGGCAAGTGCCCCAAGAGGAGCAGGACATGAATCCCCACCCTGGCAAGCCCCCCCAGGACAAGAGCCCCCAGTCCTGCCTCACTGTTTGCAGCTGGCACAGGGCCCAGAGTGCCTGTAACACAGGCACTAAAAACAAGCACAGAACTCACCAATGATGTGACGGTCACTGTCAAGTACAACTGCAAAAGTAAAACAAAGTTCAGTTGAAAGCTAAGTAACAGATTTGCAGATTGTGCTGATACTTTGAGGTCAGGGAGCTCAGCAAGTTCCTCCAGCCCCAAACACTCCTGGCAGGAACAGAGCCAGCAGAGCAAACCTGCCAGGCAGGGGCCGTGGCTGGGGCCCGGTGGGACACGGGTGCTCTGAACCTTGAACAGCCCTGCCAGCAATGCCACGTGACACAGGGCAAGTGTCACCAGGGATTACAAACTAAAGAAGAAATGTGAAGGCAGAATAGATTCCAAACTTAAGGAAGTAGAACAACAAAGTATGGACTCCAAACCCCTCCATCCTCTTCTTTGGAGGTGGCCACCACAGTGTGTCAGTACCTTCTTCCACTGCAAACCCATCTGTGATGGGGATTACTCTCTCCAGCCAGACATCCTCAGCTGTGATGGCCATCCGACGGTGAGTGTACACGTAGATCCTGCAAGCACGGAGCCAACATGGAGGCAAAGACTCCTCAGTTCTGGCGTGTCTGCAGGCACTCACAGACCCCATCCCACCAGCAGCACCTGCTAGCGTAGCCTCATGCAAACCCCAAAGTAACTTCTCAACCATGTACCACCCGCCTGCTCACCCCATCACTTAAATAACGTGTTCACATTACTGGCAGAGCAGAGCAGAGCAGCTCGTCGGCCTGGGGTTTCTTACTGACCACCCGTAACATCAAGGCCTCATGCCTTCAAACCGCTGCCCTACGGGACCGCCCCCGGGTGGAAAGCCCTTGGGATGGGAGGGGGTTCTCAGGCGGCTCCCGAGGCTCGTGAGGGACCGCAGAGCTCCCGCGTCTCTCGGATGTTCTCCCCGCCCGCCCCGCTCCGGTACCCACGCGTGCTGCCCGCGGTGCTCCACCAGGCCCAGCAGCCGGCTCTCCGCGCTCTCCCCCGCAGACAGGAGGCCCTGCACCGCCTGCGACCGCGGGTCAAGGAACGGCAGGACAGCGGCAGGGAGCGGGGACAGCGCCAGAGGGCGGCGGCGACAAACCGGAGGGAGCAGGGAGAGGGGCCCCCCCGCCCCGCACGGCTCCGCGCCACCGGGGCCCGTCAAAGGATACGATCCGGCATGTCTCGCCCCCCGCCAGGCTCTCCTGGATGGCGACCGACTGGTCCATCTCCGTCCCGGCAGCGGACGGCGCTCCCCGGGGCCGGGACTCGGCGGCTCCCGCGGCGGCGGCTGCGCGCTCAGTGCAGCTGTCGCGACACGGTGCGACACGACACGGTGCGACACGACGCGACACGGCGCCCCCGGACGCCCCCCCAGCCGAGCCGGGGCCGCTCCGTTATCGCTCCGCGCTGGGACCGGCCGCGGGCGGGGCTCGGAGCCGCCGGAAATAACGGGGCGGGGGGGTCGCGGCCGGGCCGGACGGCGGCCGAGCGGACGGGCGCGGGGGATGCGAACGGCGGGAGAGGCACGGCCTGCGGCTGCCCCTCCCGGCAGGACGGGGAGAGGGAGAGGAGGAAGCTCTGGGATTGGCAGACGTGGAAAAAGTTAATTTCCAAGGAAAATCCCGAGATGCCCTTTTTTAAGTAGCAGCTTGAATTATTTTTTGTTGAATTTCAAGACAACCCAGCACAGGAGCCAACTTCTAAGCTGCCGGGTTATTATGCAAATAAATTAGTACAGAGTGTGGGAGCAGATGCTGTAAAATGTCGCCAGTCTTTTGTACTGTAAAGACAGAGCTTGGCCGAAATCAGCCCCTTGCACAGATATAGGGGATGTAGGTCCAGAGACAGAAAATCCGAGTGGTCTTTATCAGTGACAGCTCTGCAGCTGTCCATAATGGACAAGAGAACAGTCTCACATAGCTGCTGTAAACACCAAACCTTCCAAGAAACAGGGTGCTGGGGGATGTTTTTGAGATAGAAGAACCCTAGTTTTCAGACTGTTTTCACTTGCCATGGGTACACTGACACTGTGGCCTGAAGCAAACTAAAACCACGCCCTGTGGTTTTGCCACACCAGAAGAGGAGCTGTAACGTAGGAAGGGCCAGCTGTGGTACCGTGAGGCGTTTTCCATCCAGCCCCACATCCGCTTCGGCCGCTGCTCGGGCGGCAGCACCGCGTCAGGGCTGGCAGTGACCGTCAGGGCTGGCAGTGACTGTCGGGGCTGGCAGTGACCGTCAGGGCTGGCAGTGACTGTCGGGGCTGGCAGTGACCGTCAGGGCTGGCAGTGCAGAGCCTTCCTGCTGGGAGAGCACACAAGGCTCCCGAGGGCCCAAACTGCCCAGCCCAGCCCTCCTGCCCTCCCACAGGTCACACCATGCTCAGCCACACTCAAAACACCAGCACAGACCAGAGGGCTGATACACAGACTTTAATATTTTGCAATCTTTTCTCTAAGGACCCAGCAGCAGCAGAGGAGAGCGGTTGCAGGGGACAGCGCCATGCACGTGTGCACAACTGGCAGCACCTTGACTCCAGGGAATTCTGCCCAACCAGCTCTGCATCAGCTCTGTGTGCTGGAAGAACAGGCTGGGGAAGCACTGGGGGTGTTCATGTCACAGGCTCACATCTGGGCTCTGCCTTTAGCAACAGAGAACCACAGATGTGAAACAGGATCATCTAAAACATGAGACACTTTTAGAGTAATCCCATTTTCCTGCCTAGGACTTGGAGACAAAACATGGAGTTACCATTTTACCCACCCATGCAAGAGGCATTTCATTGCCAGAGCAGTTCAGAATTAAACTGCTCAGAACTAAACAGGTCACAGGGGGTCCAGGGAGGCTGCACCACAAGCAGGTCAATGACTAGAGGAGCCCCTGTGCCTTCAGTCAAGGCAGAATTTTCTGATTTTTAAGGAGGCCTAACACCTCGTTCCTGGTCCCTCATTCCAGCAGCACGGAGGCACACACTGCACAGCTCTCAAAATCCACAATTAGTTTGCAGGTCTCTCAGGCCTACAGGATTTGGGTGGGGCAGGGCAGAATCCCTCCTGTAGCTTTCTGAGGGATGTGACAGAGAGTGTTTGATAGTGGCCTTGGCTGAAGTCAGAGAGCAACAGGATCCTACCGAGCACTGTGGAGCTCTGCTGCAGGAGGGCAGGCTGTGGAGCATCCCGACGGCTGCCTACCCCTGGAGGGAAGTGAAAGCCCTGTAATTCAGAAGAAGGACCACACCACATGCCATGACCTTCAAGAGTGGGGCCAGTGTCACCTGCCCAGCGCTATTGACATGAATTTTGCCATCCAGTTTCAGACAGCTGGCTTTCGGGGTGGCTGGGCAGCATTCCTGGTAACAGGTAGCCTTCATCCCACTGGCACAGACTGGTCTGGCAGCCTTGCACGCTTTGCTACATCCTGCCATGTAATTCAAGCCCGTCCTCTTCATCTGGAAGGAAGAAAGACACATTAGCCTAGGGGTCATGTCAAGCCTTTGGTACTCGCATTACAGGAACACAATGGCAGATTTGGGGCTGTCCTGCTCTGCAGCCCCAGGCCTTACCTCACAGAAGTCCTGCCCCAAGATGCATCTAGCAACGGTCTTCCAGCCTTTGAAACACCCATCCCCGTGACAGGAGAATGCTGTGCACACTTTCCCCTACAACAAAGGACCAGGGGAGACACCATATATCCATCAGACTCTCACTGCATTTCAGTCAGCCCTTTGCTCCTGAGGGCTCCTCTCCCACCCCCCTCTGTTCTTCATTATTTGTGCTGTATCAGGCATTTTAGATCCAGAGAAAAAAGACTATCAGTGGCCCATCTGAAACCAAAGGAAACTACTGAAACACTAGCAGAGCAAACATGTTTCAAGCCTCCTTTTCCTTCCTCTTAACAGGGCTCTGCAAAGATAAGCACTTTCCCCTCCACTAGACTCAGGAAAGGGCTGCAGAGTTCGGTGGGTCCTGTGCTCTCCCTGCAGCTACAGGAAGGCTCAGCCATGCAATCAAGTCAAACTGCCTGAGCTGATGCAAGTGCTGGGCTGGGGATAAGGCCCGATGGACAGGGCTCCTTAACGACTCTTTACTTCCAATGCCCATTTACGATTTGTTCCCCTTCCAGAGGCAGATTTTGACCTCATAAAGCAGATGTAGGAGGGACCTTTCCCTGTTTCCTGCTCAGGTGGGAGCTCAGCTGTCCCAGCAGCCACAGCCCCCAGAGAGCCCCAGGAGCTGCAGCAGCCTCTGCCCAGGTAGTACCTACGTTTTGGGGGGGAGGTCGGTGGGTGGTGTTGGTGGTCCTGGGTGGAGCAGTGGTGGGTGGCAGGTCACCTGCAGACACACAAAGAGCCCTGTGAGGCTGCACCCAGCACACAGCCCACACAGGGCCCTCCACAGCAACACAGGGACAGATTCCCCAGTGCAGCTCATGCTGCGGCCAGAGCTGGTGGGACCACCCTGTCCCTCACCCAGCTCCAAGGACAGAGCGAGCCCCAGGGCAGAAGAGACACAGCGATGTAGCCACAGCCCCTCTGCAATGGGCTCTGCCCACCCTTGCCCCTCCTGTGCCGCAGAGCAAAGCTCGGCTGTTACCGTAGGTGCTGGCGTTGAGCTGCAGGCACAGTGGGGTGGCACAGCACTCCAGGGCACATTGCTGCCTGCTCTCGCTGCCGTTGGTCCTGCACAGCCCCACACCACACCTGCTGCTGCACCCGGCTGTGTAGTTTGTGCTGGAGAAACGATAAAGCTGCAACAGCAGAGTCAAAGGATGAAATGAGTGTGAAGAGGTGCCATTACAAAGGAGCAGAAATAACTGACAGACTGCCAGAGAAAGAAGGGAAACAGGAGATGGACACAGACTTAAAAGAGCACTGTAGATTGCTGAGATAAAGAAAGGGAGAGGTTTCCCTATTGCAGCCCCCCTGCATCGCCATACCTCACAGTAAGTCTCATTATGGCAGGTGACTGTTCTGTTGGAATGGGCTTCATCCTGGTAACACCTCTCCCCGGAGCACTGAAAGCTCTGGCAGGTGAGCTGGAGGGAGAACATGCCAGGGTGTCACCATGTAGCAAAGCCTCCTTGCACAGCACCACGGGGCTGTCCCCAGCCACAGCCTCACTGTCCGGAGGGGCCACCCCCATCTGCCCATAGTGCTCCCCTTCCTCCCCAGGAGATGCTCCCGTGGCACTCTGGCTGTCACGACAGACCAGCTGGGCAAGAGACACTGTAAGGCTGCAATGGCCCAGAAATGCCCCTCTTTCCAGTACTTTCCTTACCACTGTCTCTTGTGCACCATTCACAGAGGTGTTGGTGGCCACTGAGGCATTGCCAGTGGAAGCCACCGAGGTGTTGCTGACAGTGGCCACCACTGAGGCATTCTTGGTGGCCAGCTCTGAGGCATTCTTGGTGGCAGCCACCACTGCTCTGGCATTCTTGGTCGCAGCCACCACTGCAGCATTCTTGGTGGCCACTGCTCTGGCATTCTTGGTGGTGGCCACCACTGTGGCATCCTTGGTGGCAGCCACCACTGCAGCATTCTTGGTGGCCACTGCTCTGGCATCCTTGGTGGCGGCCACCACTGCGGCACCCTTGGTGGTGGCCACCACTGCGGCATCCTTGGTGGTAGCCACCACTGCGGCACCCTTGGTGGTAGCCACCACTGCAGCACCCTTGGTGGTGGCCACCACTGTGGCATCCTTGGTGGTGGCCACCACTGCAGCACCCTTGGTGGTGTTCTTGACAGCTGTGGTCACCACTGAGGCGTTCTTGGTGGCCACCTCTGAGGCATTCTTGGTGGTAGCCACCACTACAGCATTCTTGGTGACCATTGCTCTGGCATTTTTGGTGGCCACCAATACGGCACCCTTGGTGGTGGCCACCACTGTGGCATCCTTGGTGGTGGCCACCAGTACGGCATCCTTGGTGGTGTTCTTTACAGCTGTAGTCACCACTGAGGCGTTCTTGGTGGCCGCAGCAACCCACAAGGCATTCTTGGCAGCCACCACGGTGCTGTTGGCAACTGTGTCGTGCTCTGAAAGACACAAAGTTCCCCTTTGGTGAAGGAAACAGGGAAAAACACCCTCAGCAAGCCCAGTGTCCTGTCCTGAGCCACAGCATGGACCTGTGGGAAGCATCTGTCCAGCTGTGGTTGGGAGGTGGATGGCAGTCAGTGACAGGATGTCCCAAACAGAGGCTGTTTGCAGCTACCGACCAGGCAGCTCAAGAACCAGGTCAGAGCCAGCAGCCCCCTGCAACAGCACTATGGACAGATGTTACAATAGCCTCTCTCCCCCTTCCAGCCATGCTGCCTGGGAAGAACAGGCTTTTCCAGGGGCAAAACCTCAAGGAAAGGTTCCTCAGTGCAGCTCTGTCCTACAGAACACAGCTTGGAGGTGAGAGGCACAAAGTCCCCATTGCACCACACTGCCTTTGCCCCACTTCCCACAGGCCCACAGATTTCCCTTGAGTACAGAGCTCACCTGCTGGGGCAAGAGAGTCCTGGAGACGGATGTGCAGAGCCAAGATGCAGAGCAGCAGGCCTGGAATGGAGTGGGGATGGCTGAGACTACCACATCTGCTGCCCGCTCTACAGCCCAAAGAGCCTCCCCAGCAGCAAGGCAGCCTTGAAACAGGTGAGCAGGGATACTCCCCACTCTCCCAGAGCCCCAGGGGGCCAGTGGCCACCCCTTGTCCCAGGGAGGCCTCTGGCACAGCCCCAACAGCTGGGGCAAGGACAGACCCAGGATGGGGGATGGACACACTCTCGGTGCTGCACCAGAGCCCCTGTTACCTTGAACGGGCGAGACGAGCCATCGGCGACCGGCCATCGTCATCCACCGCGGCTGCACCCAGACCTGGCAGGAGGACACGGTCAGAGCTGCCCCCCGGGGTGCGGGGCAGACACCCCAGCACAGCTCTGGGCTCCACCTCTAGGGCTCAGCCCCAGTCGCTCCCTCCTGAGAGACTCCCCAAACTCACTGAGGCCGCTGCCGGGGAACGGGAGCCCCGGGGAGCTGCGTGTGCTGTTGGTGTGGCAACAACCCTCCCTGGGCCTCGCAGGCAGCACAGACCTGCAGGCAGCTGCGGGAGCAGGGTGCAGGCTGACACAGTGACACCTGCTACCACACAACAGTTTGCTGATGCTGCTTCAAGTGAAGATGTGGCCTGGCTCTCCATTCTACTTTCTCTACTTTCATTCCAAATCTTTACCTGTTTCTCTAAGGAAACAGCAGATTTGAATCCAAACAGGCTCCAAAGCCAAGTTCTCCGAGAACTGTAACACTTCCCTCCTGTTTTATGATCTAGGCTGAGTCACCATTCCCCCAGGACCTGGAGTGGCCAAAGCTTGTGCAGAGACCTCCAAGGCCATTCCCTCAAAGTGACGAGGAAGACAATGCCAGCTGGTGCCTCTCACCTTCCAAACGAGGGCAGCCACCACTCAGACCAGCTGTGGACACCCCTACTGAGCCCAGCGCCACTCCAGCCTAGCACCAGGGCAGGCAAGGAACCAACAAGGAACCCACCTGACACGGCCTCATCCCAGAACAACCTTCCCCCGGGGAAGGAGAAGAGCCCACGGCACTGACTCACCTGTCTGCCTGTTCCTGCACCTGCAGCTGCTGCCAGCACTGGAGAACCTCTGAGCAGGTGCTGTGGCACTGGCCCCGCAGCCCAGCCCCACCCCTGCCAGCCACCACCCGGGGGAAGTGTCCCCTGTGGCTCCACAGCAGCAGAGACGCAAATGGCCCTGCACAGCAACAGAGAAAGGGCTTATAAGGCTGGAGATGTCACATGAGCCACCACTGCACCAGAGGGGCTGGGCAGCACAAGGACTGCCACTGTCACATGTGACACGTGTGGCCTCTGCACGATGGACCTGCAATTCCCGAGGCAGCACGAATCTGTGGGGTATGTACAGGCATCTCCAAGCATGGCACTGGGAGCCAAGGGTGCTGAAGTCACAGCAGTCACCTCTAAATGCATCATCTGTTCCCATCTCCATCCTCCTGCACCACAGAAGGATCTGCACAAGAACCTACCTGGCCCTTCAAGCCAGCAGCAGCGTCAGAGAAACCACCATGCACTGTCCCCATAGCCCAAGCTGACCCAGCTCACTTGGTGATTCCCTGAAAAAACACAGTGGCTAAAGCTCCCCAGGGAGACAGACCCAAGGTAAAAGCAGCCCTTAAGCCAGGTGAGTTTGTTTTGCAAAGGAGCCCAAAGAAAACCACACGCTCACAGCCAGATCTAGAACACCTGTTGGCACACAGTGTCCAAGTCCACGTGCTTCACAGAGTCAACCCTCACCATAAACATTTCCATCAGAGTGAGAGTGAAAGAAAGAATTGTTTCTGACAGCTCTAACTGTGTAAAAAGCATTTTAAACACGTAATAAAACCTCTTCCTTCCACCATACGAAAGGAGACAAGTCTCTCGGCACTTCCTAAATTAAAATGAGTTTATTTTCAAGGTATTTTTGAATATAAAACAATCTCACAAGTCTGCTTTTCACAAGGGGCTTACTAGAAAGTGATTCTATAAAGTATCATTTTAATCTATATTCATGCACATACAAAATCCAGAAACAGGAAGTCAGAGCTGCTGCCACATCCACTCACTGCACAGGTGTGGGATCCTTCACCTGGGCACAGCTACAGCAGCCCCTGGCGCTTCAGGTCTTCATAGGTCTTTTTATTCACGACGTTCCCGCTGGAATCTTCATATTCCTCCTGGAACGGAACCAACAGTTTAGAGACACTGGGTACAGCCTTTGAATTGTAGCTCCAGCAGAAGCCACTACACATGAGCACCCTGCCAGAACCTCCGTGCAGAAAGACAGGCAACAGATCTGCCAGCAGGTCCTGGCAGAAAGAGCTCATCCAGAGCTGGAGTCATTACAGGCTGTATTTCCCACTGTTGCCCTGCACACTGTTGAAAAATGGCTTGGGACAGAAGCTTAGGAAAAGGCACCAGTGTAAGCAAGGACAGTGCTCCCACACGGGAATGGGAGGGTCCCACAGACACGGGACTGGAGGCACTGAACAGCTCTCACTGCTCACCTCTGTATCGGGCTGCCACCTCTCTGAAGCCTTCTGCTGTTTCAGCTTTGCCCACACTGCAAACGCAAAGTCAAACAGGATCTGATGCCATTTCCCTCGAGGTACTTGTTTTTAATCCAGTAAAATACACACATGAGCTTTTTTCCCCCCCTTCTTCTGAAACACTTCAGCAGTCCAGGAATGTACCTAACATCCATTACAAAGTTATAACTCTTGTGTGGTTACAGAAAGGCACAGAACTGCAGCAAACAAGGCTTTAAAGTGATAGTTCAGGATAGGACACGAGACCAATGTCCAAACCCACCCCTTCAGAAAAGGTGGTGTTCTCTCACATGTTCCCTGTTCTGCCATCACTACTTACATGAGACTGCATCCTCAATCTGTGTGACGTTGGCAAAGTGTGCCGTGTTGGGAATGCCCAGGCACCGCATCCCATGGGCATGTCGCCACTCCTGGGGGGGGGGGGAAGAGATGAGAGGTCAGCATGAGAGGGAATGACACGTCCTTCACAACACCAAAGATCACAAAGACATTAACATCTGAACAGGGTGTAACAAATACTACCAAAGTACAAATCTACCAGTCCTAAAAGCTTCTATAGAAGTATTTTTTTCCTGTACTGTAGACAGTGACACGACAGCAGCCATCAACAGGCACCCTGCACCCATCAGACCTGGGCACTCGAAACGGTGTTCAAATGAGCAGGGACTGTTCAGCATCAGCACAAGAGATCTCGGTGTGCCCTACACAACCTATGGATCCCACTGCACGGCCCTGACCCCCTGTCAGAAGGGGCAGAATTGCTAGCTGGGGACCCCAGGGACTCCCAAGTGACTCATTACAAGGACTGCATGAACCCAGCAGGGCTGTTCCTGCAGCGAACGTCACTTACTGCAAAGTGCCGCTGGAACGCCTTGGGCCCTCGGTAGGTGTAGTTACCACAGATCTCACAGTTGTAGTTGATGTTTAAACCATGGAGTTTATACAACCAGTATGGGATGGGCTGCAAGCGAGGAGACAAGAGGATGAGGATACACAAGGATCAGGACACGTGGCAAAGCAGCTCAAACAAGGGAGCAGCGTGGAGTCAGTGACCCCTCCCACTTCTCCAGGCCTGACGGTCTCGGTTACCTTGCCATCCCAACCAAGAGGCAGATTTTTAGGGTTATAAATGATTTCATTTTCTTCATCTTCACTCTCACTCTCACTGATCTGCTCTTCCTCCTCCTCCTCCCTCTCCTCCCCGGTCCGCGCCTGCTTACGCTGCACGTTCTCATGGGTGAGGTGTCTCTGTTCCTGGAGAAGAGAAGGCATTGTCCACACACTGTGACAGCAACAAAGTCGGGGCAAACTCCTGCAGTGAGAAACTTTCTCAATGTACAGAGGGAGGGAATGGAAGACCAGTATGAAACACAGAACTCCCACCTTACTCAGCCAAACAACTTCTGTTTTTAGTACCCTGACATTTCCTACTTGCCAAAAACAAAAACCTTGTACCACTGTTTGCACTTCTGAGGTGACAGGTAGCAGCAGCAGCAGCCACTCTGCTGAAAACAATCCCCTCACACCAAAGGCAGGCAGCAAGGCAGAACAAGTAAAGGTTTGCAATACCGTGTGACTTAGGCACAAAATAGATGTGATGCACCACACTGATGTGGTGCTGTCTTTGAAAGCACTGGGTAAAGATGTGGATGACCTTCCAGTCACTATTTGACAGCTCTGAAATAAAAAGCTCAAAGAAAAAATAAAATCCTTACCCCAAGAACTTCTACATACTCATAAATCTGAGCTTCCAGGAACGCCAGATCTTTATTTCTTTCAGTGTCTCTAGAAATAAATAGAGTAACTTTATGCAATTCACAAGTTCAGCTCTGATATCTTCCATTTGGTTCAGCACTATTTGGTTCGACATGAAAAGCTTCTAATCTCTCTGTAACAACTACACAAGAGTGGCCACTATAGAAGACCCCTCATCCAAGAGGAGAGGACACCACCAGCCTCAGAATGATCTCTAAGAACTCACCTTTTGCTTCCTTTTGTCTTTGGATTCTTAGCAAACAAGGAAGGATCAAGTGCTTCCAAGGATTTGCCTTTAGTGCTAAAAAGCCTCTGAGCACGCTCCTCCAGAGTCCTAGAGAGAAGCAGGGAGGAGATCAGTCCAGACAACAGTTTTACATTTCCCAAGAACTATTTGAATTCATGCAACAAAATTCTAAACGTAGCTTTTATGAAATCACAAGATTCCTATTATCTTTGCCTTCCTTCCTCAAGCCAAAGTCTTCTGTATCAGAGACTCCAGTATAGGACCTGGTCAGAGCAGCAGATCCCAGAACCCGCTGCTTGGTTCTTAATGTTTTACCTTTCAAACATCACTAAGGTAATTCTAGTACACCAGAGATGACCAAACAAGTATCCCAGAAAGGAATGTGAGACAGGAAGACCTCAAAAACTTAAAGGAACTCTACAAAGACTGCACCTTACCCGCCACACTTCAGCCCCAGGGCCAGCAAAGCTGATTTTAACCTGTCCAGTCCCAAGGAGGCCAATTCCTGTTCAATTAAATAAACCACTGTAAGAGATGATCTGTTCAACACATAAAATATGGATATAGCCCATTTTAGCTCATTAAAGAAGAAAAAAGCCTGATGAAAAGGACTGTCAAGGGTGCACCCCTCCTCACTGGAAAATGAGGAATGTGACAAATCTAACCAGGTCTTTCAAGCTACATCCCCCAACTGGAGAAGTTAAATCATCAGTATCATTGGAGTTTTACCCAGAAAGCACAGAGCCAGGGAGGAAAGCACTACAATTATGCAAAGAAACCAAATGACTGAGCTTCCACCTGCTCCAAATGTGGTAGTAAGTGCAGAACACTGGAAACGCACCTCCCAGGAGGAGAAGGCTGAGAGGTCCAGGTGGGCGCCGGCGTGGGTGAGGGCACTGCTGGTCTCTTTCTACCAAGAAAACCACATGCAAGAGCTGCATGACATCCCACAAGGCTTCAGGCCACAGAACATTTTAACCTCAAGAAAAACAGTTCATTTCACAGAGAAAAATCCCCTCACTAAACTGAAAATGGAACAGTAGTAAAGATGCAACATACGCCAACCTGAAAGGTTCATTTCAAACCAGTTGTGCTGGGTTTCAAATTCAGGTCAGTACCACCCTGCAGCCTGGTGACACAGAGCTGCAACTGGGTCAGGGTCACCCCACCAATGACTTTACACAAATGACTCACAGGAACCCCTGAAAACCACAGAACATCTCCCAGGCTCAGGCTGCTCACCGGCCAGCCCGGGAACGTGCCATTCTCCCACTTTTTCTCAAACTCCGTCTGAATTTTCCCAAAAAGTTCATTCTGGTCCAGTAACGGTTTCACTCGATCTGTGTAATCCTGCAGGTACTCCAGGAGCATTTCAAGGTACCTGGCAGGGGAAGCACAAGCACAGGTAATTCACTGTCACCCTCTACCCACATCTTTGGACTAGTCACTACCCTCTAGCGCTGCAGAGGGAGGTGACCGAGGTCAGGACAGTTTTCCACACAGGATTTCTGGGCACAGCAGTTAGGAGGGTACAGGCAGGCCCTTCCTCAGAGCAGAATGAGGCTCTCCACATCTCTGCTGCACTGTGTCTTTGCCTGGGGCTCAGACACACAGTTGAGCTCAGGGACCCGATTTACGGGAGTTAATCATAATCTCAGCAGCTGAACACTTCAGAAGCAAATTCTCACCAACTGCCATGAAGGAAGCAGGCAAACAGGCTCACCTTTTATATTCAGCATTTTTTCTCTCCTTAGGAATATCAAAGAGTTGGTCGAATGTGGATAAGTAAGTGATATAATCCAATTTCTAAGAAAAAAAACCCGAGTCAGAGTTCATACACACCCAAATTAACATCCAGGTCCCAGAACAGAGCATCCCCAGTCTGTGCAGGGCCTGGGGATCCCTAGACCCTGCCACACCAAGCACTGGAGGTGCCCAGACAAAGCAGGCACTCACCTCTGACGATTTCAGGTTAATGTACTTGAGATAACAATCATGCAGATCCAAGTATCGTCCGTACCCTTCCTCATCCGTGAACTCCACCAGATCTGTAGGAAAGATCATTAAGAACTTTATTATGAGCTTAATATTTCCTACTTATTATGCAACTGCTTTAGAACTGGAAAAGGATTAGCTGTGAACTCGTTTATGCTTAAGGAAGGCATTACAATGCCCTGGACATTCATTGATCAGCCCCAATTGCTGCTCTGTGCAAGCACCAGAATGTTCCTCAGGAGCA